CTTGAGGGGTTTGTTTCTGGGAGAGGCCAGTGTTGGGGAAGTGGGACTTCCCACCTTAAATGGGTTTGGCAATGCGCCCACGCTTCTATTTGTGGGTAATTTTTTTCCTTCAGAAGATGAGGAGATACTGAAAGAGACAACAGAAAAAGAGGAAGAAGAGACTCAGATCAATGAAGCAGCTGCTATGGAGGAGGCATCTGAGGAATCGTCCGAGGAATCGTCCGAGGAGTCGTCTGAGGAGTCATCTGAGGAGTCGTCATCCACGGAGTCATCCACGGAGCCATCCACAGAGTCATCAGAGGAGCTGTCCGAGGAGCCATCCAAGGAGTCATCCAAGGAGCCATCCAAGGAGCCATCTGAGGAGCCATCCGAGGAACCATTCGTGGCTGCCTGTGACACTGACTCCGACACTGACAGTGGCATCGTGGTAAGAACAGATGCTGTCCCGACTGGCACATGCCACCCTCCCCCTGTGACCTGAGCCCCTTGCACCCCACAGCAGCTCCCTGGTGCCCTGCTGGCACCTGGGACCTCCCTGCCCACATCTGGCCGTGACTATTTGTCAGCTCAGCATTGGCCCAGGGGCTGCCCACCTTTGGTCATGGTCCCTCCTGGAGCTGCACCAGCTTCCTGGTTACTCCGGGGAGAGATCCTGAAGGCCGTGCTCAAGGGATGGAGTTGATGGTGCTTTGAAGAAAATGCAGGTCATTGCTGGGGAGTTTGTTGCTCCCAACCCAAGCCCTGCCAGATTTACAGACCTTAACAGCAGCCTGACACAGCCTGACTGTGCCCTGGGACTGTGCTGGCAGTGCTCATCTCCAAGAGCCTTGGTTGTGGTTCCCTTTCCAAGAGAGATTTCATCCAAGCTGCTTTGGCACTGGTTGGGGGCAGGCAAATATCTGGAGCTCTGGAAGGTTCCTGGCTTGTCTGTCTGACCAGATCAGTTTTTCTAGCTAGTGGCTGGGCAGGCAGAGATGCTGGAGTTACTTCCCTGGAGATAAAGTCCTGGCTCAGAGAGCAGGAGGTGTCACAGACACTGAGCAGCCAGACAGGAGGACCCCATGCCCCCTCTCAACAAGAGCAGGGCGGGATCCCCTTTCAGATACAAGCCTGGGACTTGGGACAAACCCTTGCCAACCAGCCACTGCCTTCTCTTTCCTCAGTGGGACACTTGGGTGCAGAGAGAGATGGAGCAGATGCTCATAAAGCAACGGGTCCTGGACCAGCAGAGCATTGTAACCTCCCGTTCCCCGGAGCTCAGGGGCTTTGACAGGAACATTCGTCAGAAGCTTGTCCAGTGAGTAGGGACTCCTGTCCCCTATCTCCAGCTGTCCCAAGGGTAACACCCAGCAGTTCTCCCTGCTCCTGAGAGCTCCTTGTGCCTGCAGAGCTGGGAACAGCCGGGGACTTCAGAAAGGGTCCGGTCCCAATAGGTGTGACAGGCTCCCTGTGAGCAGCTGAGTGTCCTCCCTTCCCCAGCACCACACTGAGCTTTGGAGCAGCTCAGCTCCCCCACAGGTTCTGTTCTTAGGGCTGAGCACAGACCATCAAGCCCTTCCAGCCTGCACAGACACCGTCCCTGCTGACAGCTCCAAGCTGCCATCTTGATTCCAACTATCAGAGCACACTGAGCAAAAGGAGTAGGGAATCACTCAGGTCACTAAACCCTTGAAAACCCTAAATCAGGCTTGGATGCTGCTGAGGTGGAAGGGCTTAACTAGGGAGCTTCCCCTTGCTCCTTCATGAGGCTCATAGCCACAGGAGGGTCCAATTCAGGAAGAAGATGCTCTGCAAAACAGATCGTCGATGTGTTTTCCTTTGTGGGATTGCTCTGGGAAAGGACCCTCCCGTGAATTTTGCCAGTGTTGGTTACATTTATCGATGCTGCTTTGGGGGCGATTCTGGTTGCAGAGCAGTGAAGATTTCCTGTGCAGGCAAATTTTATTCTGAGGCCCTGAAACAATTTCAGGCTCAAGCTTTACACCAGGCTAAGCAGTTTCATTGAGACCAGTGGACGTCCAGTGGGCTTATCTGAACTGGCTTTTCATATCAGAGGAGCTATGACCAGTGTCCATTTTAAACTAATTTTATTTTCAGGTACCACTGGTAACTGATAAAACCTAGGACCTGCACTCCCTGTGACTTCTCAAAATCATTGCCAGGTGGTCAGGCCTTGAGTTTCACGGGCTTGAGCTGAGTTTTTACAGCAGTGAATACAGAATTATCCGCTTTATTCACATCTTCCATCCACTTGGACATGTATCCAGGCTGTGGTTTAAGGCCTGTCTTCACTCCTCCTTCCAGGATTGAGCTGCCCGACTACATCCTGGACATGGGCAGCGTCTCTCGCGGTGGCACCAAGACACACACTGTGGACATCACCAACACCGGGCCCTTCCCGGTGTCCTTCCGGATTGAGACACATGAGCTGCAGGACAAAGGTAACCAGTGCTGGAGACACTTCCTGTGGGCTTGAAGGAGCCGTCTCAGACAGATCAGTTTAAGCCACTAGACAAGGGGAGGGGGTTTGAGTGTTTTCCTCTCAGTGCCCCTGCTGGGAGCTTCAAAGCCTGAATTCTCCCGGCCAGCCGTGCCCAGGGACCTGGCCTGCCTGTGGCTGCCCTGTGACACTTCACTATGGTTCGCTGTGTCTAAGGGATGCTCAGGTGTCTCCTCTAAGTTGTTGACCAGGGAACAGCACAGCATGGGGGGATCTTAATTGGAAATTCTCCTTTGGAGAGCTCTGCGCAACCTTCCCTGAGGCACCTGATGAAGGAATTGCTGGAGGTGCTCAGCTGATCTGTTTTAGTTTTACCATCCAAGGGCTGGCCGTGAAAGCCCTTTCTCCTTGAGTGGTGGGTGGTGACAAGTTAAAAAGAGCAGCACCTTCTCCAGAGATGCAGAATGGTCTTTCCCAGAGCTGCCAGCCAGGACACCTCTATGACCTTAGCGTGCGTGTGACACATTTCATGTTGCTTGTTTATCTCAGCTGCTTTATTTTTGTCTGTTCAAGGTTTCAGTCTGGACCCGGACCAGGTGCAGTGCCTGCCCTACTGCAACACTGAGAGGATTGAAGTGCTTTTTGACAGTACCGACTTGCCAGTTGGAGATGTGGATGTGCGCCTGCCCATCAAGGTGCCACAGCTTTTGGGGCAGGGCACAGCAGCAAATGTCACCTGGACCCTCAGCTGAATTGTCTGTCCTTCTCCAGGTGACAGGAAGCTACACAGTTCACATCCATCTCTTTGCTACTGTGACTGAGCACAGCATCCAGAAAAAAGGGATCCCTGATCTGCGCAAGTCCACGCAATTGACGGGCTCTGAGAGACGCAAGAGACGTGGTGGCCGGAGATCTAAATCTGCCTTTAAAAGGTGATGCTGCAGTTGAGGTCTGTGGGTTTCAGCAGGAGCCAAGGACTCTTGGTGCACCCTTGGCTCTCACTCAAAGGTGCTTGAGAGATTTGGTTGCTGCCCCAGCGATGAGGAATGCTCACTCTTTTTTGGTAGTGATATCCTTGCATCAATCAGCTGCGTGATCCCTGTTTTTCCTGTTGGGAAAAGGAGGCACGAGGGTTTGCAGGGGCCTGGCAGTAATGCTGAGCACAAAAAGGGGCTTTGCTCACAGGCTGGTGTCCAACCTCGCCCCAGGGCCTCCTCTTGAGGATGCCAATGAAGGGCTCCCATAGCATCCTGTTGGGTCTGGTAGAAGAGGTGGGAGAATTATTCCCTGTTGGGAAGTTGGAGGAGCAGCAGCCATGCTCCCTTTCAAAGGGAGCCTTTCCTTGTGGTTCCCCACCTTCCATACTTTGATGTTTCAGATAAACACTACCATGATCAGATTAGAAGATTTCTGGTGCACTTGATTAAATTGCAGAGTTTGTGGTGTGTCCTTTTTTGTGACTGAGAGAGGTGTTTATATGTAAGTGTTTAGACCCACACAGTGAGCAGAGTATTTGGAGTCAGTGAAGGGCCAAAGCACCAGCAAACTCTTCTTCCCTTGCTGTGTAAATAGCAAGAAGGGCAACTGAACTGGTGAACCTCCTGAGTTCCAAATGGCTTTATTCAGGATAGCCCTCATTTCTTTTCCTCATTGGTGCATGATTCTGTGGAGCATTTCTCTCCTGTTCTGGAAAGCAGAGGTTAGCAGGAGAAATTGTTATTTTCCATATACCATACAGGTATAGAAATAGGTTACTGTTGTAGGGTTTGAGGAGTCTGGAGGATATCACACAGTCAAATTTGATTCTCCACGTAAGGGCAGGTTACTTATCAGGTGCTGCCCATAAAAGGTAGAGGTGGAAGTCTGTAGCAGACTGGGATATCCCTGTTCCAGACAGGGTTGCCAGACCTCAGCAGAGGGCTGGAACTGAGACTGTCAGTGCTGCTGTTTCTGTCAGGATTTCTAAGGAAATCCTAGCAAAAAGACAACAGAAATTCTTCCATTTGGTTGCAAACAAGATGCCACCAGTTTGAGACCAAGCCCTAATCCCAAGGAAAGAATTATGGGTTTTTCTCTACAACGTTTCACCCCAACTCCTCCCCTCCAAAAACTCCAATTTATGTCACCTGCTCCTCTTTAGATCTGAAGTGGTGTCAAAATCCATCTTCAGGCTGGTGGGACTCAGTCCTGATGGGGAGAAGCTGCCAGGGACAGAAAGGCAGAAGATTTTCCAGCCCCCTTTCACAGTTGAGGTTTGGAACACTTATTTCTGCCTCGAGGGTGTGATTGAAACCCTTGGGTCCGCAGAAAAAGTGTCTTGCAGGGGGCTACATTATGCTTTCTGTGAGCATCCTTGGGGAAAACTGCTCAGGAATGAGCAGGAGTATGAAGGGATTTGCAGCTTATTCCCAAGGACAGCGTTACCTGTGGGAATTTGCTCCCTTTCGAGCCACACAGGTGGGTTACAAGACTACCTGGTGCCAGGGATGCCCAAAGGGATACAAACCCTTTGGAAACCACCTCCTTGCTCAGGGACATACAGGCTGAGGGCCAAGCCTGTGGCAGGATTTATATCCATCCATGTGCAGCATCTCCCACACCCCGAGAAGTGGTATAGAATATGCTTTGCCTATTTCTGCACCTGTATGGTTGGACTGACACGGTTTCTTCTTCAAGATTTTCCAAGCTGAGAGGCCAGCCAAGGGTGGAGAAATGAAATCAGCCTCTAAAGAACCCAATTAACCAAGATATGAACAAATTGAGCAATAAGAACCTGGAGGACTGGCTTTGGCACACCTCCTTTACCAATAAAGGAGGGAAAAGAATGTCTCATGTGAGGAAATCTGTGAATGCTGAGCTGTGTACCCAGGCGTGGTGCAAATTTCATGAGATCCTGTCCAGTTTTCCTCTTCTCCCAGAAGAAGCTCTCCAGGAGGGAGAACTGA